ACAAAATTGGTCTTAGAAACCAAATGGAATTGTGTAAAATGTTTACCACTAGCCCTATTACGAATAAGAATGAGACCCAGAACAGATCTAGGGGTGTTTCCTTACAAAATGTTGTTTGGGCTGCCTTTCTTACTTACCCTGTACAGTACTGGGGAACATCTAGAGAGGGGATGATCATGCAAATAACAACAACCCTAGAAGAACTAAGGAAAAAAGGCTACCTTCCCCAAACTTCCCCGCTGAACTGTAAAATACATGGTATTAACCCAAGAGACTGGGTATTGATTAAATCATGGAAAAACCCTCCACTACTTTCTCGCTTTGAAGGCCCCTTCCAGGTGCTGCTTACAACAAACACTGCAGTAAGAACAAAGGAATGGGGCTGGACTCATGCAAGTTGAGTGAAGGGTCCAGTACAACCCCCAGCTGAGGCAAGCAAATGGACTATAGCCAGCAAAGATGATAAAGAATTGAAACTGGTCCTGAGGAAAACACTGAAAGAAGCGCAACCCTGAACACAACCCCCCCACAGGAAAGCTGTACATTGTTATCCTTAAATCCTTAAAATTTGTTAATGTTTGTTATAGTTATAGTCTAAGTTTTGTTTAGCTAAGAATTGACAATCAGAATAAAATCTCAGTTTCCGGTACTGTTCCATAGAGCACTCTTCTTACAACCCTAATTGGGACCAAATTGAGGGAAGGGAGTTGGTACGATAAGGGTCATGGCAGAATGTCTCCAGAAAAAGGGAAAACCAGAGGCGGGAGACAAGACTGGATTGGGAACTACCTGCAGGAAATACTCTCAGGGCACCGAGAAAACCCTTGTGGATCAAGAGGTGAGGAGGCCAGCCTGTACCAGACTCCCACTCGTAGCAATGCTACTACTCATCCACTTTAGAAGAAGTGGAGGAAACACTTGCGAGAAGTGTTACTATCCCTTGTATAGAGGAGATACAGTAAGTGTATTAATCAGAGTACACACAAACATGAATCCCAAATGTATCGATCACTCCCAGTTAACAACATGTAAAGAAGATAATAAAATATATTAGCTAGCTAAAAATATTGCAAACCCAAGCCATAGGATGTCAGGAGAGTGCCTTATGAAAGAAAGATGGGTATGTTTTGAACAAGAAAGTGAAACCAACTTAGAGGATACATTCAATGACAAAGAAGTGCAATTGAAAAGACAAAGGGATAGAGAGGGACAAATATATAGCAAGAATATTTTTATCGATATGGTGGAAAAGATCACAAAATAATTTAATTTGACTGATTGTTGGGTGTGCGGGGAGACACACTTAAGTGAGATTTGGCCATGGGACAGTATCAGTTTGGGTCCCCTAGACATTTTAAAATGGATTACATAAAAAAAAAAAAAAAAGCATGATAGTACCCAAAAGAAGGGAAGGAGAGTGGAAGCTAAAATCAACAATAATAGGGGAAGACTTTTTATCAAGAAAAGGGAAAATATATACTATAGAAGTAGGAGAAACTCCATGTAAAAGATATCTAGCAGCAAATGACACACACAGCAGGTAGATCCCAGAACCGCCCATTCATATTGGTCAATAGAAAAAACTGAAAGTAGACGTGTATACAGTGAAAAATAAAAAAATGTTTGAATGCTTCAGAGATTATATTAACCCATTCTGGGAAATAGAAACCCTATACAAATATTGTAAACATATAACAAATAAAGATTCTAATTTCTGGGATGCACCTACAAATTTATTTTGGATCTGTGGTAACATGGCATATGTGAAATTACTGGGAGGTTGGATCAGGAGTTGCACAATTGGAGCTATAAAACCATCCTTTTTCTTACTGCCTAAGGATGCGAATTCAAACTTGGGAGTCCCAGTATATGATGATCTGACCAGAAAGAAAAGGAATTTGTTTGGCAGAACCCAAAATTGGAACAATGAAATTTGGACCCCAAAAAAAGATTATCGATACTTATGGGCTGGCTACCTGGGCCTAAGATGGATCCTGGGGGTACAGAACCCCAGTATATTTGCTCAATTGAATCATCCGTTTACAAGCACTACTTGAAATATTGTCAAATCAAACAACTCTGACCATTGATCTCTTAAACCAGCAGCAACAACAAACATGATCAGTAATTTACCAGATCCGATTGGCAGTGGACTACCTTCTTGCAGAGGAAGGAGGAATCTGCAGGAAATTTAATACTTCAGAATGCTGCCTAGAGATTGATGACCATAGTAATGTAATTAAAAACATTACTCAAAATATTAGGAAACTAACCTATGTTGGAGCACAAAAATGGACCCCCTTGTTTGGAGACTGATTGGTGGGACAACTTGTTCACTTGGAACAGTAAATGGTGGAAGAAATTGGTCTTCTTTGTAGTCTGTGCACTAGCAAGTGTAATATGTCTACCATGTGCAATTCCATGCCTAGTCCACATAGTAACCAGCATGGTCCAAAGCAGCATCATGCTGCAAGGTAACGTAGAAGGGGAAAATGGCGGAAAAGTAATGTTAATAAAAGAACAGAGTGATCAGAATGCCAGAGATATGCTTGAACAGTATGAGAAACTGAGAAAAGTAGAAGTTGAACATTAAAAGGTTGATGCAGGCTAGAAGCCTGATCAAATAGTTAGAGGGGGGAATTGTTAAAAATAGGTTAGAAACGGTTGTAAAATAGTTGATAGTTGTTAAGCATGTACTGTTAGTTTGGTTATGGTAAAAGGGGTTAAAAAGGTAGTTATCAGAAATACGGTACTCTACGTACCGTATTACACCTAAGTAAAGTGCACCCTCCCCCCCGCCCCCCCTAGCGAAACGAGCCACCCTGGACAGAACTGTAATGGGCCAATCAAGCACCTTAAACTTTCATGCAAATGAAGGATCCAAAAAGAAACCAATCTAAAGGGACAAAAAACAGGATAAAAAAGGGGCATCTGACCCACTGAATTCATGCCGCTCCACCTGGATCATCGGGGACATCGCTGCTCAGGAAGAGCCAGTGCTGGCTGCCTACAGCATCTTCGATGGGAACGCTCCTGCTCGGCCCGCGAGCCCCCTTGCTTTAGGCCTTTCTTTTTATTATAATAAATGCTGAAATCACTTTTTAGTACCGGGAGTGTGGTCCCGTTTTTAACAGCATAGTTGAGCACATTAGCTTCTGCCTGTCACAAGGCTGCAGTGTGACAGACTAATCTAAAGGCTCAGACATAAAACCTTGTCAACAGGGGCCTCTGAAATCAGCTTCTATTTATGTCTCTGAAAGCTGCCAACTCCTACAACCCCACAGAACTGAAGCAACCAAGCATACACCCACTATAAGAGGAAAATATGAAATTCAATTAAGACGACTACAGCTTCTTTTCTAGAGGAAAAGGGAGTGCAGATACTTCAATCAAGAAAATGCATCATGAGGCTGTCGTCTCAGACATTTTCATCTCTATTTCACAGCAAGAACAAAAAACTGGCTATGATCAGAGACCTAACATATTACACTCTCATGACCTTACATTCCCCAATCGTTTGGCTGACTGGTTGCAACCAAACCTTTACAAAAAAATATAATGAGCTCTCTTACCTCCAAAAAGAGTCTTAACACTTTAGAGATGCCCCTGTTTAACCCTGACCTCCCAATAAAAAGGAACTTTTTAATTCAGTCTGTTAACTCAAACAGTAATTTACACCACTGACCTTCACAGTTTACCCAGACAAACTAAAAGGGGAACATAAATAATTTGTTATTATTAAACAGTCTCATAACTAAGACATCTTTTAATTCCAAATTACAACTAAACTGAGGCATAAATCAACTCTAATAACAGCAGATATTTAGATTATTTGAGTAGCAAACATAATTAAGCTTTTGTGCACACCAAGTGCGCTTCCAAGAAACTACAACTTATGAACTATGTGAAATACATAATAGAAGCATTTCAAGTTACCCTAATACTTCACAGACTCCTAGAATGGTTTGGGTTGGAAAGGACCTTAAAATCATCTAGTTCCAACCCCCTGCCTCAGGCAATCTTTCATTAGATCAGGTTGCTCAGGGCCCCATCCAGCCTGGATTTGAACACTTCCAGGGATTGGGAATCCACAAGTTCTCTGGGCAACCTGTTCCAGTGTTACACCACCCTTATAGCAAAGAATTTCTTTCTAACATCTAATCCTACCCTCTTTTAGTTAAAAGCCATTCCCCCTTTTCTTATCACTACACACCCTTGTAAAAAAATCCCTCTCCTACTTTATTGTAGGCCCCCTTTAGGTACTAGATTAACTTAATTACTTAATACAATAAAGAGAATACAAATACTAACTAATGCTAAATCAATAATAAAACCTAAACTGGGTGGTTAAATAAATACTTATTTACCTGAATATCCTCAGCTAGAAAATGGAACATTAAAAAACCAAACTCAAAACAAAAAACCCCAGCAAGGATATTTCTGTAACGGTAATATAGGTGAAGCAAAAAGACGAAGTATATGCGAAGAACGTGAATCAAACCCAGGCATTTCCCAATGACAATTAAACGCAGCTCGATAATCCAGACAAAAAGGGCGGCACCGACAAGTGCTCAAAGCGTGGTATGTTTTAGTCGCCATCGCCTTCACATATCCGCCTCGCCCCACCCCCTCCCCGACACCAAAACACAAAAGACGTGGAGGCTACCGGTCTAAGGAGAAAAACCAAACAAACCCAGCTCCTCTCCCAGCGAGGACTGAGGAAGCCTCATTGTCTCGCTCCCTGTCTGCCCCAACTAAGGAGGGAGTAGTAGTGTGTGTGCCATCCTAGCCCCCGATATCCTGCCGCATCAGAGTGAAAGAGTCCGCCTGGGAAAACGATAGACGCCCTGCCAGCCCTCGCCTCGCGGAAGGCAACAAAAACGCCCCGGGGAGGCCCAAGCACCCCCCGCTGCACTCCTCTGCGCACAACGCCACCACGCTAACAGCTCTCAGAAATGAAGTCCGAATCCTCCAGCAGCCACCCTTCAGCGCCCGCGTACCTGCTCCTAGAAGGGGGCGGAGCAGAAACCCCACAGCCGATGTCGGAGGTGCTGCAGATAGCTTCAGACTGTTTCTGGGAGAGCGAAGGGCAAGATGGTGTAGGGGCACGAAGCTGGCGGTGCCACCACCACTTTCCTTCTGCGGCAGCAGCACAGAATGAGACGCGCAGCGCACAGGAGAAAGACGAAAAGAAGACACAAGAAAGAGAAAGAATTGAGGAAGAAGAAGAAGGGTGGATGAAGGAGGGATCTGAACCAGCTGGTCCGCTCGCGTCAGCTCCGCCTCCTTCTGGCTGTTGCTAAGGCCTACACGCCAGCGCGGTCCTACACGAGGGGAAAGAGAGCACGAAACACACGTGAGGCGGCTCACAGTACCGTCGCCTTTGCCTGCGGAGTCACCAACCTCCCCCTCCCCGAGACTAGAGACTATACAGGAATGGACAGAGACTCCACGCGTTATCAGAGAATGTCGTCTGTTCTCCAGAGGAATGGGGAAATGGAAGGAGCGGTGTCCAGAGCAGCGACAACTGGCTCGAGCAGCCTCACCCTGTCCACAGAAAGAGGATGGAGCTGCGCGCAAAGAGGAAACAAAGCCTCTCCCCATCCACTTGCCCTAATAACAGACGCCTCCGCTCTTAGTTAACATTTCCATTTAAACTTTCACGTGCAGTGGTGTCACAAGTGAATTATTAAAAGAAGTCATCGTTGTGGGGTTAACTAAAGGGGTTCTAGTAATCATTAAACGATGATTAAATTTTAGTTCCTGATGGCTGAATGAAAAGTAAATGACAAATTGTGATTAAGCAATGATTGAATGGCAATTTGAGAGTGATTTGAAAAATATTTAAATGATTTAACAATTTAGAGAGTGATTTTGATAGCAGTCAAACACTGCTTACTACACTTTTAATAAGCAAGCTCTAGCTAGATATATAACTGTTGCTAGCATACAATATACTTTTAGGCCTAATGCAAAATGTTGCTTACTTTGTTATAGATATCAGATGCTGGATAAAGGGTCTCACCTGCAAGGAATAATCTTAAGAGGCATCCCTTTGCTCAAGGAGGAGATCACTGCTGTGTAGCCTGCTGCCACACAAGAGAGCTCAATGGATTTAAGGGAGCTACAGATATTTATAACATAAAGTGATTGACTTGTAGTCAAACCCCCCCTTTGGTGTATGTGCAGGAGTGCAGTTGTAGCAGTTTTAGTTTTGTCTAGTTCCAGCTCAGGCTAGTGTTGTTAGCTCCTGACAGACTCCTTAGTTCCTGAGAAGATATGGCCTAGCACAATTTTCAAAGTCTGCACATCAAGGATGATTTCAGTCAGGCCTAGTTGTTGATGATGCCTGAACGAAAGAACTGTTCACTCACTCATAGCAGGTGTAGGCATCACAAGCAGCCATTAGTTTTTTTTAACCTTGAACTCCTGTCTTATCTATCTTTTGGATTCATTGGCTATTGGCTACCTATACTTTTTTACCTAAACAAGTATTACGCACTAGTTGACTACTTTTATTTTTAATAGGTTATCTGATAGTTAATTGTCTGCAGTGATAACTCAGTTTTAAAAGAAATTGAATAATTCTGTGCTTGATGGTGGATTTTTTGGGTGAGATTACAGTATAAAGAATTTCTATTTCTTGTGAGTTTTACTGATTTAAAATTCTAAAATTTTGAATGTTTATAAACAGTATTTACTGAAAGTAAAGGGATCTCTATAGTATACAAAGGTATAATATTAAAACATATTTTCCAGTCAATTGAGACAGGAAGGCATTTGTTGTATATGGGATAAAATCTTTGTTATGTGGTCTGCCTGAAGGTTTGTTGTTTCTCTCACAGACTTTATTGGTTGTGATCACCCATAAACATAAGGTAAACTTGAAATCCAAACCTTGACCTGCATTCAGATTTACTAATTTTTGGGTCACTGAACCTCATAATTAAGTATTTATATATTTTTGCATGTCTAAACTTTAGATCAGACTTTGTGTCTATTAGATATTGATAAAATTACATGTTCAGAGGATGTAACATTGACCTAGGCAGGTAAGAGTGATAGAAATGTTACATCACTGTGGAGAGAGTGAGTTAGAAGGGTTTGCAAGCCTCAAGAGCATGGAAAGAGGAAAAAGAAATCAAAGGAAAGAGTAAAGCTTGTTATTTCAGACTTTTCCCTCACTGTTGGAGGAGAACAGGGTAGCTTATAGTTTCAAACCATTGTCAGTAGGTATAGGAAAGTGATTAATTTCTCATAATAAATTACAGGTAATTAAAATATTTGTAAGGTAGTATTTCTAGGAAATTGAAGACAAACATACCATGTTTACATAATTACATGTTGTTCTGGTTTAGGATAATTTTGGGAGAAAAACTTTTAAAGGGATTTCTTTTAGAAAACTAAATTTAAGTGTTTTTTTTATAATTGGTTTGGGAAAAAGATTTCTTTGTAGAAAAGTGGAAATAAAACCTGTTTATTTAACAGGCAAAGTATTCATCAGTACAAAAAAAGAATAATATTAAACAATAAAACTTCTTGCTGCTCCAAAGGAGATTATAAACTCAGAAAAGTCTCCTTCGTGGGTTGTAGCTCAGTTTACTTAGTCTCTTATTAGTTCCTTCGGTGCTGGAAATGCCACGGCCCAGGCCCGGCCCAGTGGGCTACAGGTGTGAGCTCTTGGTGTTTTTCTGGGTGTTTAGTCTAGAGTAGGTTTAAATAGGTTTAAAGAAAAAGAAAAATTACAGTCCAGGGAGCTTCTCTGCTTCAGCTAGTTAAAAACTAACTAAAAGCAAAGGAGAGTTCTGTCCTGCTGTCTGTTTGCAGACAACACAGTCTAAGAACAGGATGCAGGGCAGTAAGTGCAGTTTCTGATAACAAATTCCATGCTTCTTCTCTCTTCCCTTCGTTTTCGGAATAAGTTTTAAAGGTGCAAAACTTATTATGCAGCGTAAACAGAATAGCTAATTTGGGATACAAGCATCATATAGTTAACTCAGGATATTTTACTTTTTATCTTTATATTGTTAGTTTACTACTTAAACTAATATTTATTTTAACTCTATAAATACATACATTATAGATACAATATACAGCTATACAGATAGTGGTAGTAATATTCAGTAAACAGTGATATTTATACATAGTTTTCACTTAATAATCAGATTTCGCTGCCCATATAGGACAAAAGGCTGCACATGTCAAACAACACCTAGTGCAAGCATTTTCATTATTGGGGGTGCCAAAAACGATCAAAACAGATAATGGCCCAGTGTATGTATCCAAGGAGTTTCTGGAATTTCTCCAACAGCGGTGTTATAAATTGAGGCGAATAATTTGATTCAGCCTTTTAAGATCAATTAATAATTTTATTAATTACAGCAAGCGATAGTAAGCAAACAGCGCTGGGTGCAGCTGCGGAGCCTGTGTTCCGCCAAAAGCTGACAACTTTTCTTTCTCTTCAGTCCCTTTTTATCCTGCATAAGTGGGGGTGATGGGTCTCCTTCTACCGTGGTTATCAGTTCCAGCAACAATGGGTTTCACAAGTGGGGGTGGTGAGTCTCTTTCCACTGCGGTTATCAGTTTCAGCAACAATGGGTTTCCACTGCGGTTATCAGTTCCAGCCAGTCCTGCAAAATCTTTCACAATCTTTGTTTGTGGTTACCAGTCAAGCCTGCAAATTCCATGTCCCGACTTCCCCCCCTTTTATCCTAATTTCATACTTTTGATGAACAAACAAGTCAATGCAGTTCCTCACAGTCCCCCATTCCATATTTTATCATTTTGTTCATCAAATCGTTTTATTTCTTGGTGGGCTAGAATCAAAGTCTCTTCTACTTCAGGATCTCTAGGGAGAGTTTCATATTTGGCTTTGATTAGCATCAGGTGTGCTGCTTCCAATCTTCTTTTTACTATTTCAATTACCTTGTTGAATATACATGGGCCAAATGTTAATCCTAACACTAATAATATTAAAGGACCCGCAATTGTAGATAGCAAGGTAGTTAACCAAGGGGAGTGATTAAACCAGGTCTCATACCAGCTCTGCTGGGCCTCCCTTTCCCTTTTCCTTTTCTCAAGTCCTGCTTTCAGTTTTGTCATAGTGTCTCGTACCACCCCAGTGTGATCTGCATACACACAACATTCTTCCCGGAGAGCCGCACACAGTCCTCCCTGTTGTAAGAATAGCAGATCTAGTCCTCTTCTATTCTGCAGAACTACTTCCGATAAGGACCTTACTGACTTTTCTAATGCTGATATTGATTGTTCTATACGTCCCAAATCTTCGTCTACAGCAATCCTCAGGGAATTAAACTCCTTTGTTTGTTTTACTAGGGAGGCTACTCCCGTACCGACACCTGCTCCCCCTGCAAGCATTAAAACTGCCACTGTAAGTGCGGTCAAAGGCTCTCGTTTTTGTATGTGGTGTTCTGGGATGTTTTGTACATTATACATATATTCGTTGGGGTGATAGATAATTTTGGGAATCACAGCCACCTGTATACAATAGTCAGAGGTTTCATCAAATATTTCTAAGGAAATACAGGGGGTGAATCCTCCTTTTGAGCAGATCCACTTGGTGTTTTTAGCGGGAACTAGCCATTTAGCTGGAGTATCTTCCCGTTTAGCTTTAGTAACTGTCTCACATAAATATTCCAGGTGTGTGGGTACTCTGCCAATACATCGTCCTCTCCCCTTTATTGAAGCCAAAGTCATTCCTTTACCCCGGGAATCTTTCCAATTACATTGCGGGGGATTGCTACCATTAAGACGTCTCGCCTTTTCAGATATCCCTACAGCTTCGTAAAATGGAGGCCTAACATCAAAGCAGAGCCAACAGTGTTCTGTTAATTCTGGCTGAGTAGCATTTAAGACTTTATATACTCCCTCCATTAATTTCCAGAGAGTGTTAAACTGGGAATCCCCACTTGGAGGTGTTGTAGGAGTTGTAGTTTGGTTATCTGTTATCAGGTTCCTAGCTGTTAAATCCCTAACTATTACAGGATTAGGGCCTACTGCCTGTGTGTCTGCTGGTACAGGCCCTTTCTTTATGGTAAATACACTCCCTCTGTCTTTTCCAGGTTCCCAATACCGAAAGCCCCATGATCTTCCCACCATCCATCCTGGGTCTGTGGGCTCAGTTATGTTTAAATGTACAAATTGACAACTCCCTTTCCACCCGCCCAAGAAGGCGCCACTAGAATCCTTTTGTGGAGGTGTACACCCATAGGGTCCCGATGATACTTTAAGAAATTTATCTCCTGCTGCTTGCCAGTCTGAGGCTATTGTTTCACACCCCCAGTACCCACAGAAATATTCTCCAGGGTAATTGCAATACCCCTTTCCTGGGTTCGATGCTGGACACATGTAAAATCCTGCGGTATTAAAACAGGGCTCTACAGGGGCTAGTTCGCATAACTGTGGGGTAAAAATAGGGGGTCCGGATGTTATCTGACTCCT